CCGGGCTGTTGATGCTTGGGATCCAATTTTAAGTAACTGTAAGGTCATTACCTACAGGCCTGGATTTGGTTTTAGGTTTCCTCTGGAATCACGAGGGTACTTCCAGCAGATGTCTGTGGCCTCTATGAGCATTCCAGAACTCTGGTAACTTTGGAGCTGTGGGGCAAAGTCCATGTTACTAAATGCACTCCAGACTCCAGCCAGTGGAAGGCCTTTGGAGCCAGGGCTTGTGGCTGAGGTTCTACAGTCAGGCTCAAACTTCACTGTGGAGTTAAACAATGGAGCACCTGTCTCCAGGGAAGGGAATAACAGATTTATGCAACTACTAAGGGAAAGCTTGCAGAGATCTTCCTTTGTTGCTAGTTATTCACCCTCTATGGATGCCTTCACAGTAGCCGATGACGTTGGTGGACCCCTGGAATTACCTTGGTCCTGTCTGAATAAGAAGGAGGCGTTTTGCAAGCTGAGGCCAACAGTTTAGTGATAACTAGTCCTATCGGTCAAGTCTCTTTGTATGTGTTTTTTCAAGGAACAGGAGCTCCACCTCCAAATGACTCAAAAAGGCAATTTATTGGCTCCCATAGTGCCTAGGATAAGACAAGACGCAGCTGAAAAGTGTCTAAGCCTACTCTCTCCATCTCTTTTCTTCTGTGCTGGCTTCATCCTTAGGTTCTTTTCTTACAATGGCTAGACAGCTGCTAGCATCTCCACCCCTGCATCCACACAGACCTAAACCAAAGCCCCCAGGCTTAACTTTCCCTGACCTGCCTTAGGGTCATGTGACCATTTGCGCATCAATCACTGTGATGGGGAGTGGGGGCCGCAGTGACCTAATTGCCATGACCAAGTCACATGCCCAGCCCTGGAGTTGAGGGTAGAGTCAATACCCTTTAAACAAGTGTTTCTCAAACTATCTGGTAGAGGACCATTTTTTGTTTTGTTTTAATTTCCAAGTGCACATTGATTCTCTGATTCTATGCTATTCAACGAGTCCACTGATCATGCTCTTGATTGTTGGGGCATAAAATTGTTTAAAGTTTCTAAATTCCCACCTGAATTTCATCTTGAATTGGTACCAGGCGTGGTGGACCATCACAAGGAGACCACATTTAATAAAGACTGCTCTGAAGCATATGGACCTAGAAAGAGATGGTTGCTTCCCTGGAGAAAGTCTGGGGGAAGGTGTGACCAGAAGAAGGTCAAGAGAATGCCGTACGTCCAGAAATGTGCCCAACACAATGACTGATTCTGTACAACTTGCTTTTAGAAAGCCCTCATCACAGTGTTCAAGGAGTCATTGGGTTCTGGATCATTTAAATGCTATAGGATGGGCAGGAGGATGGGAATTTACCACCTTCCTTTTTAAGGACTGAAGATTCTTCAATGGATTGCGAAGCAGCCCTCCTTTTCCCTTATTTAGCTAGCCACGGCCGAGTTAGGAAGGAGGTCTCTGTTTCTCATCCAGCTATGTCCTGGAGAGGCATGCATCTCATCCAAGGACACTTCACCACCAAGGGCTGCAGATACCACTCACAAGAGAAGTCTGAAAATGATGGTGCGGAAGAAAGGAATTCTTTCCCTGTGTGTTTAGATACCTCTCAGGGCAGGGCAGACAAAACACACCGTCCTTGAAGGACAACTCTGGACTGCAGAGACAGCCAACTGTGCACATGGCCATGCCGAAGTAGGCATTTTAAACGGCTCCCAGGTCGTTGAGGAGGGAGATTAGAACACGTTGGCCCTACATCCTAGCAAGATAGCAGGATTTCGACTTGGAGCTGTCCCACAGAGGCAGGTCAGGGCGCTCAGACGGCCTCGCCAGACCCTTCACGTTGCCGGGGAGGGAATTGGTAGCGCCTTCTGTACCGACTGACAGGCCTATCAAAGGGGGTTCAACAACTCCTGGCTGGGCTGGGGGCCTGGGGATTAGTGAAGCAGAGGAACCTAAATCGTAGCCATCTGGAGGGCTGTCTGTTGTGGTTACAGCAAGGCTCCATGCATGCGGCTGTAGAGTCACAGACCCAACTGTTGATGCCGTAATCTTGCATGACTCCAGCGGACCAACAGAAGACTAGTTCTTGCAGAGCAACTCGACACTTTCTTCCTCCCTCGAAAGTGTCACAGCTTGTGTATGGTATATGTTAAGAATCTGCTGGTGTTACAGTGAGTTAAACAGGCAATAAAAACCTCTCCCCCAAGTGTGTATTCTTCAGCGGAGTTTTCCGAACCCATCATTAAGATGGGGGTGCGGGGTGGGGGGGACGCCAGTGTTCTCTTCCCACTCCCACTCTCCTTTCTTAGCTCCCGGGACGCTGGTGGCCTCGTCTGGGTTGTGCCCGGCGACCTGTACCGTTCTGAACGCAGCTCCTTTGTCCTGCGGGAAAGCGCTTGTGCCCACGAGCCAGAGTTCGCTAATGGAGCTGCAGTTAGAGGAGGCGGTCCTGGAGGAACGCAGGCCTCTCCAGAGGTGGTCCGAGCAGTGCCTAAAGAAACAGAATCTGCTGCTGTGCCCTGGAAGCGTGGCAGGTGTCTCGTAGGGTGCAGGGACATTCTCACGAATCCTTTATTCCTTCAGAATGCCCGTCTGGGGAGGTGGCAACAAGTGCGGGGCCTGTGGGAGGACCGTGTACCACGCAGAGGAGGTGCAGTGTGACGGGAGAAGCTTCCACCGCTGCTGCTTTCTGTGCAGTAAGTAGCTCCCGGTGCTCGACCTCTCACTGGACGCATGTGTAACATGACTCCATTTACCTATTTAACCAGACACTGTAGTGATGTTAACGAAGATCATGTTAGAAGTGCCGGCGGGTTTTGCCTGTCTGTCCCAGACAGCGTGAAGGCTCTGCGTGGCGGCACGGACGGCGGGGGTGACCGGCCCCACGAGGCCTTGCCGTGTCCCCATCGCTCCTAGCCTCCACTGGGCCCTCACTGGATTTTACTTGTTCTCCCTTCTGTCTCCCCTGCTTTGTGAAGAGCTCAGTGTCGATTTTAGCCTGGCACTGGGCCCGGCTTCTGGCACAGGGTAAGGACTGGGCTCTGATTTCTGAGTCAGCAGGTCGCTCCTCATCACCCTCCCACCCCAGCTTTCTCCTCCTGGCGGGGCCCCTTTCTCTTTGAAACCTCCTCACTTGTTTCTTGGCACACCAGGACTCGTTGAAATCAAATGTCTAGAAGTGGAATTCCCATCTTCTCTGGTAGTGATTTCTGGTTATTGATATCCTAATTGAGGGAAGGGAACATAGGGTATGAAAATCCCATCAAGGCAAGTTGGGAATTACTGTTTCTAGATGGGAAATTATCAGCGTCTGATAGAACAGAAAGGAGGGCATGAAGCACATGCCTGTTCGCTCACAGTAAGACACAGAAGGAGACACAGGCCCCCTCCCCCTGCGTGCCCCCTCTAGTGACAACTAAGCCTTCAGTTGCAAGCAGGAGAGAAGCCGCTTCAGAAAGCTCTTTGTTAAGCATCATCTTCTGACTCAAAGGACAAAATTTTCTTTGATGAGCGATTTGTTAATGTAAGGAACCCACCCGTATGTGCAGACATATCTGTAGTCCTGTACAGTGAGGATTATTGCTAGAAACTGCTTGTATTAAGTGTGGTTAGTTGTCCTTCTCCCTCTAGGCACCAGCATTCAACATGTCGGGACCTTGTTACAGTGTAGCTGTTTTGCAGGCAACTAGAAACAGACAACAGAAAGTCGCAGTTACAAAGAATAAAAATATAACATGTTTACTGTGTAGGCCCCCATAATAGCTACCATGTCTCAGATCTGGTTTAAGCAGTTCTTCTCTTAGAAGTTACTTTTTTGTTTTTTGGGTTTTTTTTTAGGAATCTATTTTTCAGCAGGTTTCAAACCAAGAGTATGTGAACAAAGAAGAAATACAGATACTTGAGAAATTGTTCTTAGCTTCATCCACGTTAAGCCAGGATAGTCTCTCCACCGCAATAAAGTCACTGTTTACTTAATGTCAACTTCTTTAATGGCGATTTTACTACTACTTCTGAGTATTGGTCTCTGCTAACTAAAGCCTGTTACGGGTAGAATTCGGAGCAGTTTGCAAACCTAGGAGAATTTTACTATAGAGAGATGAGGACAGAAGGAAGGAAGGATAGTAAGACAGTAAAGTTTTAATGAACTTGCTTTGGTTAATAGATACGTGGCCTTTGAAACAGTTTTTGTATTTTTACGTATTCTGTTAAGGGTGTTTGTTCTTTAGCAATGTATGCTTTTAGGTGAACGGTGTCTTCCAGCAAATGTATTTCAGTTCTTGAGCCTCAACAGCAGGGTTCCAGAGTAGATGACATCATTCTCTTCTACCAGAGAAGACGGTAGTCTTAACAGAAACTTTGTAATTTTAGCTATTTCAGTCGCCTTTCCCTGCCCCCGTCTTTGTCCTTCCTTTCTTCCTCCTTGCATTCCCCCCCCCTTGAAATAGGAGGGGAACAATCCCCTTGTCTCCTAATCTTGGATCTCCAGCTGCCCAGCTGTGCTACCAGCAAGTTCCCTCATAGTTTCCTTTTTTCGCAAGCTTAAGTGAAGTTTTAGAAAGTGAAATAATGTCTGGGTAAAACATGATGACATTTGGCAGTTTTATGAAGTGGGATACGTGGAAATGTCTTGTGGCAAGAAAACCATCAAGAAAGAATGTGTTCTCTTTGGGGACAGAAGGGAAACACAAATGCAGACTTCAAACCACTTTACGATTTTCAGACATACTCATCACTGCTGGAAAAGCCAGGGGCGAGATGAAAAAATAATGCTTTTTCCCTTCTAGACTCATGATGAAAACTACAATTCTGGATTGAAAGCCGTTTTTATGCCGGGAGTGCTCTTTAGTGGAGGAGGGCTGCAGAGCCAACTCCCACAAGGCACTCAGCCACCCTTTGGTTCTTTGTTAGGTTGTGATTTCGGGGATACTAGGAAGAGGTGGAAAAGATTGTGTTGAGGGTTGGGAGCAACGCGTTAATTGTTCCCTTTGTTCCCGTAATTATAGCCATCTCCGAACTTCTCTCCCTCCTCCCAGAGAGGCCAAGCCTATAGAAAAGGTTGAGGCTTCGGGCTGTTACAATTCTGGTATGTTTCTGAAACAATGATCCTATCCGCAGAGAAGGGCAAATCGTCCTTAGCTGTAGCTGACCCAGTCCAGATGCTGTCCTTGGTGTTTGGGAAACCGCGGAAGAAAAAGGAATGTGAGAGAGCCTATGCCTTTACCATTTGTAGACCATGTGTCAGGGCCACCATTGTTCTAAGAAAAAGGCATCTCTGGCACGTTTCTAAAGGTCTAACTTATTCCCCCTCAGTGGTTTGCAGGAAAAATTTAGATAGCACAACAGTGGCAATTCATGATGAGGAGATCTACTGCAAATCCTGCTACGGAAAGAAGTATGGGCCCAAAGGTTATGGTTACGGCCAGGGCGCCGGCACGCTCAACATGGACCGGGGTGAGAGGCTGGGCATCAAGCCAGAGAGGTGAGTTAGAACCCTGTTTACCTTCAGAAAAGAGTCGTAACAATTAATGTTGCTTGGTGAACAGGAGTCTGGGACAAAACAGATGTTTAGCTTAAAATAATTGAACACAAAATTATTCCAATTTTCTAGTATAAATGAGTTAACTATTCTTCAAGCTTGAAGTGGACAGTTTGGGACCTAACAAAATTCTTATTGATTATTCCAGTGATTTCTAGCCTTGATTTTGTAGCATTCTTCAGTGTATCAAGGAGTCATGTTCTCAAAAGCACAGGGTTTACATTTACTTCCATCTCACAGTGTTTTAGAGATCAGATGTCATGAAATCAAATGATACAGAAATGTAGTATCTGAATCATGAGATGCACTTCTCAGGTGCAATTAAACAGTCAATGAGAAGTCCTCAGTCACTCCTCCCATGTAAGAATATTTCACCAAGCAATGACTTTTCTCTTACAAATTCTTACTTAAAAATGGAAATTATTTCCTGTTTTTGATTGTTTGAGAGATCAGTATTAAATTTTAAAAGGTTCCAGTACCAAAATAGCAAAGTGCTAACCCTGTTCAACTTCACTTAGTATTTCATGTGCAGGCTATGTAATTTTGTCATTTTCATAATTTCCTCGTAACTATTTTTGGCCCAATAATTCTCTCATCTGAACTTCACATTTTTCACATCCATTTTATACTGAAGAGGCCCAAACTGGTGTAATATTCCAGTAAGATGGCCTTTTGTTGGACAAGACCATTCATCTTGCCCTGTGACCTGGCCACTATACAATATTAACACGTTACCTCATATAATCCTCACAACAACCTGACAAAGTAGGGTTTCCCATCTTACTCAACAAATTTAGACAATGAAAATGAAGTGATCTGCCTATAGTCATATTGCTAGTTAATTGTAGAGCCTGGAAATTAACCTAGTTTAACTCCAAATCTTCAATCTTAAACACGGTGCATTATGGTATGCCTGAAATAATTTGTGTCTATTGTCTGCTGAACATTTATGTTCCTTTTATAGTCCTTACAGTAACTCTGAGTTTAGATATTTTGTATTTTATAGACAGGACACTAAGGCTCAGGTCACACAGGTGTGACACAGCCAGGATTTGACTCCATGTCCATTTGGCTCCCACACCTGTGCTCTTTCCACTGCATCGAGGCCCACCTGTCTGTTCTTTCGTTTTTTCCCACACTCGGAGTTTCTGAGTCATGATGCCTTGTGTACAACGGCTGACTCATTCAATGCTGCGTGCCATTGTGGGAGCCCAGCTTACCTTGGTCTTTGTTGAAGTTCATTGTTCTTGCTCTGCTCTCCTTTTCCAGCTTGTTAAAATCCATCCTTGTTTTCTAAGGTTTTATTTCAAATCTTTCAAAACACATATATCTATATCCTTTCCCCCAAACGAAACCAAATATATTCATAATCCCAAAAGTCAGTCAGTGATTGTGGCCATAGTTTTAGAGTCACAAAGACCACCTTCTCCAATAATTGACAAGCCCTCTGTGCTGGCCTGTCGATCTGGGCCCTTGTCTCTTCCCATCGTAGCCTGGCCACATACTAGGGCCAGATGTAGACTTCCCTTTCCAGAAGCCTCTCTTAGTGACTGAATTCTGGGAGGGCCCGTGGTCTGGAGCACCCTGTGGGACATGGTAATGATAACATATGTGGACCATATATCTTCACAGGGATCTCCCGGGGAGACAGCATTGCATGCGCAGGAACATTTCGTTGGGGCAGAACTGCTTTTTTTTCAGTTCCGACTCACCAATTTACTATTTCTCTAGCTCTCCAACAAGTTATGTAATATCTGAGCCCCTATTTCTTCATTTGTCATGAGTTTAAACAACTATCCACACCCTGTGATGTCATTAGCAGGGAGGTGGGAGAGGATCTCCATTAAGTTCTTATTAACATAATGTGTTGGAAATTTTTCCAGGGAAACTCCTAACTCCAAATGTTGGATTATCATTGTGAATAGCATTTGAAGATCACTCTTAAAAGAAAGTAAATACAGTTGGTTGTAGATTTTTTAAAAAAAATATGCATACGTTAGGGACAATTGGAAACACCCATATTGTGAGTCAGTAATGCACTTGTATTTGTTGCTTAGAATAAAATTTCCAGTGGCCGCAGCAAACATGATTCAAAAAATGTATCTGAAACCCCTCACGTGGATGTGTAGCAAACTGTGAGATAGCCCAAAGGTGGATACAGTGGAGATGAACAAATGGAAGATATAGGTGAAGAGTTTGAATACATTGTTTCATGAAAAGGCAGTATTTCTAAATTAACATTTTATTTTAAATATGTATGTAACTTAAACTATAATGAGGAAAAAAACCCATTTTTCCAATAGGAAAAATGGGGCACTTGTATCATTTCCCGAGCTGTTGTCCTCTTATCTGCTCAAGATTTGAGGGGTCTTTAAATCTCAGAGCCCAAAACACCATTCTGCGGAGTAGATACACCTACATACTGAAGGGGGAAAACATTAGAGAAAGCGAGGAAAACAGTTTACCCAGTGACTTGTAAATAAGTGACAAAACTATCCAGAGAAAAAGTAAACATCATACAGTAATAGGCAAACTTTCTGAAATATTTTTCCATGAAGAAAGCAGTTTATTCACACTTTCCCCTATTTAAGATATATTAGGAAATTAATCTGTAAATCATGCTTAACTTTCTTAATGACTAAGTCCACTGACCTGTTTGCAGAAACTTTTAACTGCTTAGGTTAACAGTGATTTTTCAAACTCTGGTAAAGTAAAAAAAAAACTAGTTGTGATTCGGTAATATGAACAGTACTATGAATATAAGGTAAAAATATGTCCACTGTAGGTTTTTATAAAGCAAAGCATAATTGTTTAGTGGACAGGCAAGCACTGGGGATTCAATAAATTCTGAGTTTAGACTCAGATACTTAAGTTTGGGGCCTCGTCTGTCTTTTGGGGCAGAAATGAGCCCATAAGTAAGTTAAAGTACCAGCTGGCCAGCACCTGAGATTCAGTCCTTCTTTCTTTGACCTGCAAGAAGGCCGCCGGCTGTGGGCAGTTGAGCAGTGAAGTCCCCGCTTCCCGCTGCATCTGCCTTGTAGGCTAAAAGGGGCCTTCGGTAAATCTTGCCTAATTTTTTCCCCCTTTCTACAAGTGCTCAACCTCACAGGCCTACAACAAATCCAAACACTTCCAAATTTGCTCAGAAATACGGAGGTGCTGAGAAGTGTTCCAGATGTGGGGATTCTGTGTATGCTGCTGAGAAGATAATTGGAGCTGGAAAGGTACAGTGCTATCTTGAGTTAGTAGCCGTGAATGACTGCTCTCCGCTCCCTTTCTCCCTTGTCCCCTTCCCATCCCCTTCAGGTACTCTTCATATAAATAAATAAATGCCTTGGATTCACATTTTTCTTAGATTGCCATCTGAATCATTAACTTTTTGAAGTGATGCCCTTGCTTGACAAATCACATCTATGTCTGAAAGAAACTTGTTTTCATAAGGGGCACTCCTGAAGGTTGTTACGGTTAACACACTTGGACTCTGTGGGTTATTCCAGGTAGTGGGAAACCAGGGTCAGGACACCCAATGCTCATTCGTTGTGTGCATTTGAGAAAGCTACTTAACCACTTCACCTCTTTGAGCTGCAACTGTTCTCAGCCATCAAAGGGACTGTCTTTAAAGGAGCACGCTGTGCTTGCGGCAAGGTCTGAGACCGCTCTTAGGGAAACAGCCCTTGTGTGGTAGGGCTCCAAGCCCATGTCTTCTGTGAACAAAGTTTGAACTCGGCCCTTTTGCAGGTGACCAGGAATGTAGGTATGGGGAGGTCCAGTTCCAGGCTTTTTGTTGGAGCGGAACCACAGCAGTCAGGAGCTCGCGCTGGCTTGATCTTTGTGAGCCACTTGCTGCAGCATCTCAACTGTACTGCAAAAAACCGACCTCTCAGACTTAACTCAGTTTCTCTTCCAGCCCTGGCACAAAAACTGTTTCCGCTGTGCCAAGTGTGGGAAGAGTCTTGAATCCACAACCCTGACTGAGAAAGAAGGTGAAATCTATTGTAAAGGTAAAATGAATTTCTGTTATTACTGTCCATCTGAATATCTCACAGTAGTTATTGGTTAAGGAAATGTCACCAGCATTAAAAAGAAAAATGATACTCTGACAGTGGGGAAAGGTGGGATTGCCACTGGCTATTTGAAAATAGCAGGAAGGGAAGAATGAAGGGGGGGAAATCGGAGGCGGAGACGAACCATGAGAGACTATGGACTCTGAGAAACAAACTGAGGGTTCTAGAGGGGAGGGGGGTGAGGGATGGGTTAGCCTGGTGATGGGTATTCAAGAGGGCACGTTCTGCATGGAGCACTGGGTGTTATACGCAAACAATGAATCATGGAACACTACATCAGAAACTAATGATGTAATGTATGGTGCTTAACATAATAAAAAAATAAGAAAATAAAGGCTCTAGAGATGCTTACAAAGAACACAGAACCACAGAACAATTTGAGATGATACAATAAAATTAAGTTCTGGTCATTTCAGATTCCCCAACAAATAAGACAAAAAAACCTCACTATAAAGAGTCTTATTTCAAATTTATGTTTTCAGCAAAGCATATGAATATATGAAGGTAATAGACAAATATGTCACTTGCCCGGCCTGATTTTTATGCTTATAACTCAAGTGGGACCAGGAGCCGAATACTGTGGCATCAGAATGTTTGGACTCGCCTTTGCAGCTCTAAGATATTTACTACATGGCTCATTTCATTTTATTTTAAAGATTTTATTTGAGAGAGAGAGCACGAGTGAGACAGCACAAGCAGGGCACAGCAGGGGGAGAAGCAGACTCCCCACGGGGCAGGAAGCAGACTCCCCACGGGGCAGGAAGCCCACCGGGGGCTCAGTCTTAGGACCCTGAGGTCATGACCCGAGCCAAAGGCAGCCTCTTTTTTTTTCTTTAAATTTTTTTAGTTATGTTAATCATCATACATTGCATCATTAGTTTTTGATGTAGTGTTCCATGATTCATTGTTTCAAAGGCAGCCTCTTAACCAACTGAGCCACCCAGGCTCCCCTACATCGCTCATTTTAGATCTTCAATAGGTTGAACTCTTTTGGGCATGGCAAACTTTTTTTTTAACTTAGAGCGGTTTGTTGTTTCCTGGGTCTTAAGCAATGCTACCAAAGCTTAATGGTCTTCTACTAATTCTTCCTTTTCTTTTATAGGATGCTATGCAAAGAACTTTGGACCCAAGGGATTTGGCTATGGCCAAGGAGCAGGGGCCCTCGTTCATGCTCAGTAAAGGTGTAAGCCCACAACCAAGATCGCACACTGAGAACCTCTACACCCTCTAGGCACAGATAATCTACCACTAAACTACTGTGAACTTCTGCCAGCACTTAAGTACTGTCTGTTGTCCCGTATGTGGAGAGGCTGGCTGGCTGACTCGTAGGAAGAGAGCACGGTGTCCTTTTGCTTTATTCATCAGCATTTTCAGAATTGTTTCTTTTACATTTTAAATAAAACCTTAGCGTGATTTGGTGGTTGTCTTTTCAATTTACCTTTTGGAGAAGCTGCTGTGATTTCAGTGGAAAGTCATTTTAGGTCCCTACCTGCACATTAGTGGTTAAAGAGGGTCCACCCCATTAAACAGTTGACTTACTAGTTTAATGTCAACATTACGGCTCTTGGAAAAGATCTCTTTTAACCTGGCAAGTATGCCTCAAAAGTGGGGGTTGCTAGGCAACGGGTTCTAGCTCTTCAGAGATGGCATTCAGCAGCATCTCCCGCCTGCCTGCCTGCCTGCCCTCCCCACTCTGGCTGGTGGTTACTCCTTTCTTTAAAGCATGGCTCCCAGACCACATGCATTAGAATCACCTGGGAGTATTAAAAGGCGGACTCCTAGACCCTTCAGAAGCAGACTCTTTAGAAGTGGGGCCATAGAAGCCCTTCTAACAAGCTCCTCAGAAAGGCACAATGACCCAGGGTGGTAAGCACGCTGTTAAACAAAACACTGAGAAATTCTTTTGATTCATCTAAACCTAAAGATTATTACAAACAGCTACCTATGGACAACTTCAGAATCTGAGGCTTGGTGTGACTTTTTACTCCACTCTGATCTGATAGATGGTAACTTACAAAATCCTGGAAACTGAAGTGCTTTACTCAAAAATTTCGATCCTGCATAAGTTGCAAAGAATGTCGCACTGTCCTGGCACATTTAGCTGGCTCAGGTAGAAAAGGAGTGTTAAGTATACACAGAGTATTCTTATTATTTCCCCAGAAACTTTTAGTTCTTTATCAAAGACTCAATCCGAACTTTTTATTTTTCAGGGGTATGGTGTGAAATTGGTCTGTAAATGTGTACTGGTAAAACTGAACCAGCATGATCAATGAGCACATATGAGTCTTTCCCAAAGCCTATTTTAACATACTATATTGCTTATTTTGAAAAGCTACAGGGTGTGCTATGTAGGACATTAAAAACATAAGCAGAAACTTACTTAGTGGGAAGAAGTCAATCTTGAGGATGTACTAAGTGAAAGAATTCATGCATCAGCCTTCAGCACCTCATGTAGGTCTTATAAGGCAAGTTCCACTGTGGTAGAGGGGAAGGCCTTTTTGTTAAGACTGGGGAAGTTAATCAGCAATAAATGGAGATAGGCTGAATTGAAGAAGAGTTATGGAGTAACTTCTAATTCTCTATGTGGTAGTTTTAAAATCTGGACATTCCCACCAAAACATGAAGACTAATCCCCACCCCCTCCCCAGAATAAAGGCCAACCTTAGTGACTCATTTTTAACTAGCACAATATGATGGACAAGACTAGGTTAGAAAAGACAGTACAGCTTTTGCCTGCCTTTTTCCCTTTAGATGCTTACTCTTGGAACTCAGCCACCATGTTTTGAGGAAGCCCAAACCACACGAAGAGGCTACATGTAGATATTATAGCCATAGCTTTGGCTGAGATCTCTCCCATCAGCCGGTATCAGCTGACACGAGTAAGCAAGGCTTCAGGTTATTCCAGTCCCCAGTTTTTGAACCATCCCAGCCGACACCAAGTGGAACAAAGCATGCTATTCCTATTGAGTTCTGACCAAACTAGAGATTTGTGAATAAAAATACTGTTTTAAGCCACTAAATTTTTGAGTGGTTGATTAGGTAGCTATAGATAACCAAAATGTATATTTTAAACTGTTCCCCACACAGAACCAACATTTCCCATACCTACCAAGTTTCCAAAATCAGAGATACACACAGATATCTGAGAGGAAAACACTCTAAATGCCAGGTGCTTAGTCATTTGAGATTTCTACCCAATAAACAATTGAGACATCCATTCATAATTAAAATTATTCTTAAATTGGGAGCCATGACACACCACCTCCAAAACTGTAAAATTAGTTACCAGTGGTTCCAGGATTGGAAAGGGGAATTTGGCTTTGAGTAGACTGCTCTGGGAGGAATCACTTTCAACATCTGGATGTAAGTCAACAGGGTAGCCCCAAAGTAATCCAAATGTGATATTAAAGTGCTGTATGGAAATATATACTTTTATTTTTAAAACAACCCATTTGGGATTGTTTTTAGCCCCTTGTGCTGGTTTGGTATATTTGAGGAGGACTGCTGGCAACTCTAGTTCCAAAAAGTTCTTCAAGATCAGTTAAATTTAGCAAGTATTGCTATCAATCCATATTGATACACACACACACACATACACACACGTCACACACTAGCATATTGAAGGCTTTGAGAGCCTGTGGTTGAGAAGTCTGCTTTAACTTGAGAGTCTTACACCAAATTAGTTGTCCATGGAACCACTAACATCTTAAGTAAGCACTGGGAAATGTTGGTTTGGACCACTTGTTCTCAAACTGTTTAATCTCAGGACGCCTTTACATTCTTAAATTATTGAGGACCCCAAGGAACTTTTGCTTATGACCAATTACATCTACCAATATTTTCCATATTAGAAATTAAAACAAAAATTTAAAAAACATATTAATTCAGACTTCTACTTAAAGCAAAGTGAAAACAACAGGGGCCAGATTTACCCTCTCACTTGAAACAACCAAAACCACAAGTTGTATGAAAAAAATATGGTTTTCAGGCACTGGACAACAGGCAACAAAGAACAGTTATAGGGAAAATGAGATCAGTCTTAGGATTAGCAAAGCTAACTGCTTTTGGAGTTTCTAGGCTGGAGCTGGAGTGCAGAGAGGGAGAACACAGGTGGGGTTGGAAGGCATTCTGAGTTGAGACTGAACCGAGTCCAGAGGGACCAAGGCAACTAGGGTTCAAGGGACCGGAGAGAGCTGCACAGAAAACCCCACAAACATGCACACTATGACCCAACCCCCACTTTGCAAGTCTTCAGCTGAGTGCTGATAGTGCATACATGTAAGCAACTAACCAAGACCAGAGAAAAAACCAACTGAAAGACTTAGAACAAAGACTGGTGCTCATATGGAGCTGGGAATAGTACCTGTTCATTCCCACCAGTGAGATGGGGAAACACGATTCATGGGGCTTTAGATGGAACACACAGGTCTTGCTTGCCTCAACAATGGGGAATCATTAACCCAAACTGAACACTGCTCTGGTCCTACCTAACAAATCTTGCTTAGCAATAAAACCTGAAAGGATTGAAGCTTCTAAATAACTCCATCCCAGAACAAAGTTCTGCACTTTTTGTACAAATATAAAAATATCCAGCACCCAGTTCATAGTGTCTGGAATCCAATCAAAAATTACTAGTCATGCCAAGAAGCAAGCAAATATGATCCATAATAATGAAGAAAAATCAAAACCAACCTAACCTGACCTAGATGTGAAATTGGTAGGTAAGGATATTAAAAGTTAATTTTAAGTATACTCCATATCTCCAAAAAAGTAGAGATACAGAAGATACAAAAAATGATCTAAATCAAACATTGTAGGTGAAAACATTATATAATGTCAGAGATGAAAAGTACACTGAATGGTATTGACAAAAGACTAAACAATATAAGTGAAAAAGTTTAAGTGAACTTAAAGACATAAAAATGATCCAAAGTAAACACTGCGACAAAAGAATTTAAAAGATGAATTGATCAGTGAGCTGTAGGACAATCCCAAGTGGCCTAGTATGTGTGTAACTGGAGTTTCCTGAAAAGCAGGGGCGGGGGGAGGAAAAATATTTGAAGATATAATGACTGAAAATTTTCCAAATTTGATGAAAAACTGTAAACCTACAGATCCAAGCAGCACCAGCAGCAATGAGGCTTTCTGATGCTTTGAATGGCAACAGTTCCTCCTCCTGAGTACTAGAAATACTGCTATTAAAAAGTATTTTTCAACCAAATAAATGTCTGATGATAGATATTCTTGTAAAATTTATCTGAGTAAAAAATTCATACTCCAAAGGCAAAAAGTTTACTAAAAGGCACATCTGGTTTCCTGGAGTTTGTGACCTAGCTGACCTAGATCAAGGAACATTTTGAATATTCTACTTGGAATTACAGACTTTTCTGTTTTATACATCACATAAAGATATTTAATAAGTAACTCTTATACCAACAACTTTATGGAACTGAAGATTTACTTTTTGATAAGAAGCTAAGACTTCTTGTCCTGATATATATCACTTGTTTCCAGTTATCTCTTAGAACCAGATATCCTTATCATAGGTACAATCTACCAAACTGGGAAGGGCTGAGGAGGAAGAAAGCACCTGCAATGAAAACTGATGGCTTGCTGTAGAATCTGCTTCATTTTTACACTTGTTCAAAATATTGTTACTTGAGTTCTATACAGCTCTGGAGATATCACTTTAAATATCATAAAATAATTATGAAATGAGTATCAGTCCAATCTGAAAATATTTAATACCACTGGGTTCTCAATTAAACTGTAAACAATCCTCTGAACAGGCAGGAAAGAGTCCCTTCATAAATTTTGCTTTTTAAATTCCCCAATAAAGAAGTTGTCATGCACAGCTTTTCAAGTAACTGAGATCAATGTTCGATAGGCTTCCTCTTCCAAAATTTCACCACAATGTCTTCAGACAATACTTCTATTTAAAACTTGGAGATTCATACAATCCCTGAGCATTCTAATTACTCTATGGAATCCAAAATTCTTTTTTTTTTTTTTTTTAGAGAAAGAGACACAGAGAGAGAGGCAGAAGGAGAAGCAGGATCCCCGCTGAGCAGGGAGCCCGATGCGGGACTCGATCCCAGGACTCTGGGATCATGACCTGAGCCGAAGGCAGACTACTTAACCATCTGAGCCAACCAGGCACCCTGGAATCCAAAATTCTTAAAGAAAAATTTATTCCTTTTATTTAAAAGGTATTAATTACATACACATACATACACACAGAACTGGGTATTTGAAAGAATGCTACCACCTTTTACTTTTGCTAATTTCTAGTCCTGCCATGTGAATCCTAGTTGATCCAGATATAAATACACAGAATAATCTCTTCATATCACAGGTACCACTGCCAGTGCTTCTTCAATTTCTTGAAGTGAACTGAGCGAAATAACAAACAAGCACACACTTAAGAGTCAATATTTATTCTGATTAATATTTTACAAAATTTTGACATTTAATTTATGTAAGGAGAGCTAATTTATTAAACACTTTACAGGTTTTTCTTTCCATAGAGTAACATGGTAAGTAGTAAAATAATACTTGGCACAGTTATAAATAAAGAAAATATAAAATAAAAATACCCATAGCTTAAGTATAATGATGCTGTTTTATGCCTATTAATATTTCAAATAAACTCCTGGGAACAACAAAAAATATGAAGAAAAAAAAACCTCCAAGGAAGTAATTCATGTTCAGGGCTGAGAAGTAAGTTCCTATTTGCTAAAAGTATCCAATTAAGCTGATATGAACTATTCCCAGAAGGGTCACCTTCATACCCAACTTTAAAACCGGGTTAAACTGGTTCCACACACAAGACTTACAAAATAAGTAAATAGACGGTACAGTACGCTGCTGCATAGTTGGCTCCTGACCATCTGACCATCTACTGTGAGATGGTTAGTACTAAAGCATTAACATTGCTAATATGTTCCATGTACTTATAGATCTAGAAGACTTTTTCTATTTAACTGAAAGACATCTCTTTTGCACTGAAAAGAATATTGTACCACAAAGAAAGAACATGGTAACAACACTCTTATCCAAACTCTGAGAATACCACCATTGTATTCGACTGTTAATAAAAATGTATTCAATAAAAATTGCAACTGAGTCTTCATGTGAAGTGGCTCAAAATACAAAAAAATTAAAAGAAATTCTAGCCTTTTATAAATAACTTTGAATTTAAAAATTATCTAAAATTTCCCCCAATTAGTAGTCAAAACTAGCAGAGACATTTGTAAAGTTAACCAATTTTTTACATTCTATGACAAAATGGCACAATGCTATTGCCACCCCACACCCATCTCTTCCCTTTTCAAAAATAAAGTACATATGCCAATTTTCTAATATTAAAACACTCAAATACACTAAAGGTAATCTTTTTGATGTGTGACTTATGGTCAAAGAAACTACTATATAAAAATGGTACTTGGAAATACTGAACATCAACTATATACATTTCACTGCTCCTCTTACTAAGGCAAGGGGCGGGTATACCACTAGATTGCTTTAATACCTTTAATCTGCATTTTACAGAGAATACTAATTTTACCAAGCATCAGACATGCAGTGAACTTGCAGGGTATAATGCCTATTAACAGCAATATTGAACATCACTAGAAGCTCATTAGTTATCTCCCTTTTCTTTTTGGTTGGATAAAATGAAATGAGCAGCTTTAAATACACTAACACATAGAGACACAAAGAGAAAACTATTTGATAAATTATTTATATACAGATACACAATCTTTACACTGGTCTAGGATCTGTCAGCAGTCTGACCACCCTTCTCCCACCCTCCCCCAAGCCCATTCCCTCTCACAGGTTTGCCACAGGTTGCTCGAACCACAGTTTGCTACAGCACTTAAGAGGACTAAACCAAGTCTCACTCTGTAAACAATATTTATGGAAGCAGTGACTAATAGTTCACCGTGAGAGTATGGAAATGCTGCAACAAAAATTGATCAGTGCATTACATTTAACAATAAGAAAATCTTTCTGAAATTGTTTCAGACAGCATTAACAAATTTTAAAACATTCAATATTGGGAAAATTGAAATAATCTTGAGTATTAAATTCTTTCTGATAGGTCACTTTTTAAAAACCAGAATATACCATTAGCTTTTCTTTTATTCACATGTGCTATATGTACAGAGATCATGCTCCATCTTGAGCTAAACTCCATTATTTTGTCTACAATTTATTTTGCAGCTCAGAATTCTAGAAGTATACCCATTTATCTCTATTACTGAGAATTTTGCATTAACTTATTTGTTCTGCCTTGAAATTACCTCAACTCTTAAAAATTGGACTGTCTGCACATCAAATTAAATTCTAATTTAAGCTTTACTGGATAGTATGTGCTAGTATACATTCTATGAGGTGTATCATGCACTTAGTAGGGCTTTTAAGTTTGAACAAAATAACATGACTTACTATACTCATGCAAGTGCTTTATTATCAGACCATAAAACCTCAGAGCAAGGTTACTACAAATTATTTCACTGAACTAGAAATATATCAGCTGGTATGTTGCAACAGCTGATGGCAACAAAATATTGTTAGCACATATTTTTGTGAACATTATTTTCTTGTGCCCTTGAAGACATATTACAGTAGATCCCTAATAAAACCACATGATTTTTATCACAGTATTTACATGTACATTCTAAAATGTACATAATATTAGCCTGAATCAATTTAAGACAACTCTCCCGGAATTAAATGCAATAGTCATAGTAGATTGCATCATAAAATTTAGCTGTATACCATAAATTTAGTGTTAGCTAGAATCGAACATTTCTGATCAGTATACCATGTCTGTCACCAGAATAAGTTCACTCTTTATTCATGAAAAATGTTATGAGAACAAAACCAAAAAGTTGAGTATGTTGTGAATTCCCACATTAAGAACCATTAAAATTCCTTTTATGATCTTTATTCTTCCCAGAAGTGGCAGTGTGCTCTGTCCATGTTTACTTTTGTTAATAAAAGTGTTGGAAAAAAGACTGTAAAATTCACTGTTAGCCCTACATATAGCATGCTATTGTTCAAAAAATGTGGATTCGAGTGTGAGAGAGACACGGACAGACACAATTTTCAGGCACCACTCAGCAATATGCTTCATAGAATAAAGATGTTGCTACACGAGCTGGTACCCAGATCCTGATATTTGGTCATACTCTATTGTATACTGCCTGGTCCAGTCCACGATAACAGGACGAAAGAGGCCACAGCATCGAAATTCAAAGAAGTCTATAATATTCCTTACACATCCATGGCTAAAACACCCCCCCAACAAAAAGAAAAAGAAAAAGTCTATTAGTACAATAATTTAACATATGAATTTAATATAATTTTGGTGTTAAATGTATTTTTTTCTAAACTTAAAAGCTCAGTTTACTTGCCAGGAAGAACCTGTTTATAACTCTATAAAATATATATGCATTCGTGGTTCTTCACAGCTCTGCCAACACTAATTTTTCTTCTCTCTTTTGCTAATTTAATGGGTTACACAATGATATTTTAAAGTTATTCAAATCTGCATTTCCTTCATTCCTGTGTCATATGTAATTTTCGATAAAACCTTTCCTCGATGGGTGGCTCTTTGGCAAGGAGACAAACTATATCCAAAATTGAGAAAGTAAAACACAAAATAATTATAAATAGCATGAAGCTGGCAATGTATCTCAAAGTAACAATTTAAGAAAAGGTATGTCAAGGATAAGTTCAGGGAATTTTAGGACTTCAAGAACACCTCTGGAAAAGCAGTCACAGTTTTACATTTTATATAATAATTGTGCCTATGGGAGAATTCTCAAAATTACCCAAATGACTCCTTTATTTTTGCTTTTATTTAAAAGTTTGTATGCTTTCCAGAAGCATGCAATAATTAATAGCATTACAAAAGCTTGAAGGTAGTAGCCAAGTAGTTTGAGTAAAACTCAAAAGTTTTAAATATTTCATTATTTCATTAGGAAGCTCTACTCAGCATCAAACAAAATGTAAGATTAAATATATATATTTAAAATATGAATGAATAGGACAATCTCTTCAATAAAAGGTGTTGGGAAAACTGGGCAGCCAAGTGCAAAAAATGAAACTGGACCACTATTCTACACCACACACAAAAATTAATTCAAAATGGATTCAAGACTTGAATGCAAGATTCAAAACCATAGAGCTGTTAGAAGAAAACCTGTGGTAAGCTCCTTGACATGGGTCTTGGCGGTGAAATTTTTAATATGACACCAGAAGCAAAGGCAACAAATGCAAAATAAACAAGTCAGATTATATCAAAATAGAAAGCTTCTGTACAGAAACCATCAACAAAATGAAAAGGCAGCCTACTGAATGGGAAAGAATTTGTGCAGATCACATATCCAATAACGGATTAATATCCAAAATATATAAAGAACTCATACAACTCAAAAAAATTCAATTAGACAATGGGCAGAAGATCTGAAGAGACATTTTTCCAAAGATATACAGATGGCCACCAGATACATGAAAAGATGCTCAATATCACTAATCTTCAAGGAAATGCAAATCAAACTCACAATGAGATAGCACCTCATACCTGTTAGAATGGCTATTACCAAAAAGACAAAAAATAACAGGTGTTGGTGAGGATGTGGAGAAAAGGGAACCCTTGTGCACTATTGGTGGGAGGGTAAACTGGTGTAGCCACTAGGAAAACAGTATGAAGTCCTCAAAAAAATTAAAGATAGTACTACAATATCATCCAGCAATTCCAATTCTAGGTATTTCTCCAAAAAAAAAAACTCTCAAAAAATAAAAAAAGGAACAAACAGAAAAACACTCTAACTCGAAAAGATACATGCACCGCCACGTTCACTTCAGCATTATTTACAACAGCCAAGACATGGAAACAACCTAAGCGTCCATCAATGGATCAATGGGTAAAGAAAATGTGGTATGTATGTGTATGTGTACACACATACACACACATGAACACACAGAGAGAGACTATTATTCAGCCATAAAAAAGGAAATCTTGCCATTTGTTACAACAGGAATCGACTTCGAGGGCATTATGCTAAGTGAAATAAATTAGAAAGATAAAGACAAAAACCATATAATCTCACTTATATATGGAATCTGAACAAACAAGCAAAACCAAACTCATAGACAGAGAGAATAAATTGGTGGTTGCCAGAGCCTGAGGGTGGGGTGTGGGTGAAATGGGTGAAGGGAGTCAAAAAGTACAAACTTACAAAATTAATAAGTCATGGGGATACAATGAACAGCACTGTGACTATTATTAATAATACTCTGTTGCATACTTGAAAGCTGCCAAGACACATCTTAAAAGTTCTCATCACAAGAAAAAAAAATTCTTTGACTATGTTTGGTGACAAATGTTAATCAGATTTATCGTGTGGGTCATTTTGCAATATACACAAATACTGAATCATTATGCTGTACATCTGAAATATGATGTTATATGTCAATTATACCTCAATTTAAAAAAGGAAAAATAAATCCGTGCATGGAAATTTCTGTGTCATGCAGAGGGCAAATAAAATAATTCAAACTGAAAAGCAGCTGCCCTAGAGTCTAGAAAATTTCCCTAAATATGAATTTCAATTGACTGTATTTTTAAAATCATATTTTAATTCTGTGGATACATTCATCAATGAAAATTTGTAGAAACTTATGGCAATATTAAAGCTGTATGTTAATGTATAATAATACATGTTTATACTAAATGTTAGTAGGTCAATGGAGTTTGGATTGTGCAACTAAGAAAAAAGAATGTCATAAATTTATATATAGTTAATGTGATGAATTTTAAAGTTATAGTAAACTAACCAATGCTATGTCTGGCAGAAATCTTAGAATTCAGTAGGATTTATAAGCTATTTTACATATTGCTAAGCAAAAGAAATATTCCCTGTTTCATATTCTATTGACATACTTAAAGATGGTATTTCTCTTTGATGTATTCACTAGATATTTGCTAAGTTATATGCCAAAATAAAATACTAAATTTATAAACATGTACGTACTTGAATGGGCTTTCAATAGATGTTGTTGTGACTTTAAAGTGCTTGTATCTTCTGGCATTCATTCTTTCATTTGTAGTAATACCTAAACATGATATCTAAGAGGTAAGAGAAAGCAAACCATTAACACTCTCTGATGTAAAGTAAGTATTAATGTAAAATAAGTTAATTCTCAAGAGGACCAGAATGGAGAGAAAAATGATGAAGTTTGTTTTTGCTTTTCCATTAGGAGATCATCAAGCTAGTGTACATGATATCACTTTGACTCTTGTGAAAAGTAGCCAATTAAACAGGAAAAATGTTTAAAAAAACAGGTTATCTGGGGACGCCTGGGTGGCTCAGTCGGTGAAGCATCTGCCTTCGGCTCAGGTCATGATCCCAGGGTCCTGGGATCGAGTCCCACATCAGGCTCCCTGCTTGGCGGAGAGCCTGCTTCTCCCTCTGCCTCTGCCTCTCTCTCTCTCTGTCTCTCATGAACAAATAAATAAAATCTTAAAAAAAAAAATAGAAATAAAAATAAAAAACAGGTTATCTGGCATTGTGTATGGGGAGAGATGGACATTATGTACACAGACCACCTCTCCATCAGCCCCTTAAAAACTGAGTTTTTAAAGAAATCCTTAATTAAAAAAAGGTTCCTGAATAAATACTGATATTTGTAGGTAATAAAACATTACTAATAAACACAAAACTAATGGCATCATTGATCTAAGCTTACACCTATATCCAACTGGATATATCTGAATCAGGAACAACAGAAATAAGTTCTGTCAAAAGTAGTACTGAAAATTCAGGGGTGCCTGGGTGGCTCAGTCAGTTAAACGTCTGCCTTTGGCTCAGGTCATGAGCTCAGGATCCTGGGATCGAGCCCCACATGGGGCAGGGAGCCCGCTTCTCCTTCTCCCTCTCCCCCCTGCTTGTTCTCTATCAAATAAATTTTTAAAATAAAAAAAAATTCATAATGTAAGAACAAAGTTCATATCATAATGAGAGGGGGAAGGGAAGTGGGAGATAGAAAGGAAAAAAAAGAACAAAGTAAACGTAAAGAAAGAATAAAGGAAGAGTAAGTAAAGTAAATTGAAAATTTTAATCCTTGAAAAGCAGAAGTGGTTAGAAAGAGAATGCATTATTATCTTTTCACAATGAATGAAGTGTTAAGAGTTTTTAGTTAGCACACTGAAGAACCGATCATATACTTGCACATACCTGGTACATCTGACACATGAGTAATACAGCCACCCACATGAAATGAAAAACACTGTTCAGAAACATCCAAAACATCCAAGGTGAACATGTAGCAATTTGAGTAATATATGTCCAAAATCCATCCTTGGTGTAAGTGGTCTCACAGTGAAGTCCCCAGTCTAAAATGAGAACAGAAGGTTCACATTCACTCAGTAATCATCCAACCACTTCACAAAGGCATCTGCAGTAGGCACCACTTAGAAGCCATGATCCAAAAGTCTACATTTAGCCAATGACTTTGAATGCAATTTTTTTATACTCTTAAATAACCCCATAATTAGTGAAAAATTAGTATATAATTAGTGTATAGTGAAAAAACACAGCAAAGACAGAAATGGAAAAAGCACCAGCCAATCTTAAAAAAAATACTACTGTACTTTAACAATACAGTTTTTATTTGATTGGTCTTACATACATACAATAGTTAACATTACCTCTATACAAGATAAAATATGTATGTAAGTGAAATTTTTTTGGGTGGGGGGTACGTATAACAGAACAAGATCACCTTGGTGAGGGAGGACTTTTTCCAAAACAAAAATCTCTTTTTTTAGAGCTGCTGCCATAAAAAACTACTGTTGTTAGCGGGAACTACAGCTGTTCGTGGGAACTACGGCTGTTAGCGGGAACTACAGTGGTTAGCGAGAACTTCGGCTGTTAGCGGGAACTACTGTTGTTAGCGGGAACTACGGCTGTTAGCGGGAACTACGGCCGTTAGCGGGAACTATGGCCGTTAGCGGGAACTACTGTTGTTAGCGGGAACTTCGGCCGTTAGCGGGAACTTCGGCCGTTAGCGGGAACTACGGCCGTTAGCGGGAACTTCAGCTGTTAGCGGGAACTTCGGCTGTTAGCGGGAACTACGGCTGTTAGCGAGAACTACTGTTAGCAAGAACTATGGCTATTAGCAGGAATTATGGATGTTAGTGGGAACCACAGCTTAGCGAGAACTTCGGCTGTTAGCGGGAACTACGGCTGTTAGCGAGAACTTCGGCTGTTAGCGGGAACTACTGTTAGCAAGAACTACGGCTATTAGCGGGAATTATGGATGTTAGTGGGAACCACAGCTTAGCGGCTGTTAGCGGGAACTACGGCTGTTAGCGAGAACTTCGGCTGTTAGCGGGAACTACTGTTAGCAAGAACTACGGCTATTAGCGGGAATTATGGATGTTAGTGGGAACCACAGCTTAGCGAGAACTTCGGCTGTTAGCGGGAACTTAGGCCGTTAGCGGGAACTATGGCTGTTAGTGGGAACTACTGTTGTTAGCGAGAACTTTGGCTGTTAGCGGGAACTACGGCTGTTAGCGGGAACTATGGCTGTTAGCAGGAACTACTGTTAACAAGAACTTCGGCCGTTAGCAGGAACTATGGCTGTTAGCGGGAACTTCGGCTGTTAGCGGGAACTACGGCTGTTAGCGAGAACTTCGGCTGTTAGCGGGAACTACTGTTAGCAAGAACTACGGCTATTGGCGGGAATTATGGATGTTAGCGGGAACCACGGCTGTTAGCGAGAACTTCGGCTGTTAGCGGGAACTTCAGCTGTTAGCGGGGAACTGTTAGCAAGAACTTCGGCTGTTAGCGGGAACTTCGGCTGTTAGCGGGAACTACTGTTGTTAGCAGGCCCATGTTCTCCCTCAGGTTTGTTGGGCCAGAAACAAAGTTAAGATCTTTGACCAAATCTTTCTCTCTCTTAATCTGTATTTCAGAAAGTAGCCTTTTTCATTAGGGCAATAACAGACATTATTTTTAATATGTCTGAAAACAGGAGGACTAGGAAATCATCCTTCCACAACTTATTTTTAAGTCAGGATTTAATACATATTATGCTAAGTACCACCAAGCCCTGAAGCATAGTAACTAAGACCTTCATTTAAACTCTTCTCAAATCATGTTCTCAATGCAATCAATAAAAACCCATCATTGCCCTTATACCCATATGATCAAGTGAATGACAACTTATTCCTAAAAAAGTATCTTCTAACACCTTTTAATACTAATAGGCAATAATTACACCTTACTTTTTGAAATATTTCAAGTTCTGTGCGAAGTTAACTGCATTTTCCCAGCTGTTTGATACTAAAGAGCAACTAGCATAGTCACAAAATCTGTAAGCTACTAGAGTAAAGCAAGCATGTGATGTGAAAAATGTTGGTGTATTTTACCCAGAAGCATTTCAAAGCCTATTAAACCATCAAAGGACACACATATTAAAACATAGCTAACTGATAATTCTGTTGCTTATACTGTATGTTGAACACATTTACAGTTCTACATCTGTTCTTTTCTTTATGCTTCATTGCAATAAGGTGCCCCAGACCATAATTTTTAGTTAAAAGACTTGTCGTTATCATATTTTGTTAATATGGTAAGCAAAAGCACACATTTAAGAAAGTAAAAAGCTAACTGTACTCACAAGAAATACAACCATAAATCATCCAGCAGATCATAAAAAGCAAGAAGAATAGGTAGCCCATAAAGTATCTATGGTTGCCTGCACCTAAAGAACAACACAGAAGCAATTTTTTCAGCTAAGAAAAAACAACTGGAAATGAGCCTTTTGGGGATGGGGGTAAAGGAATGCCATGAATGATACAATCTGGACAATAATGATAAACATTATTTATTTTATAAAATGTTCTTCAGGAAAATAAATGTTTTAATAAAAGTCTTAAAATAAGGGTGCCTGGGTGGCTCAGTCAGTTAAGTGTCTGCCTTAGGCTCAGGTCACAATCTCAGGATCCTGGAATTGAGTCCCACATCCGGCTCCCTGCTTCTCCCTCTCCTCCCCCCACTTGTGCTCTGTCTCAAACAAAAAAATATTTTTAAAAAGAAGTCTTAAAATAATGTTTATAACTACAAAAATGTGATGACTGCAATGACACTGATTCTGAAGTCACGTCCCAATGAACCAAATGAATCACAACTTTGAGTTTTAACCTACTGTTTGTGAGGTTTAAAATAACCTATTTTATCTTTACTTTTATAAACTTTATAATCCAACTTTTTAAAGCCTTCTCCCCAACGGTCATGCAGTCTCTACCATGTTTCCCTGTTGTCACCTCATAAAAACCCAGGGCCATCTCTCAGACCACTTAGTTCACCTCCTCAGACCACACCACTCTTGAACACTAAGGTATATAGTTTTTATCTGTCGTTCCTCTCTGCTTCTGTACACAACATTCCTCCAAATATTTTTATTGCCTTAACTTTTTCCACTTTAACTAAAAAGCAATACTGTCTCTGCATCCTTATTGATTCCACTATTATCCAATAAAGAAAACAGGAAAGAATAAGCACCAGAAGGAAATGATAGGGAAATATCAATCTTTTCTAGACACTGATTTTATAACTTTTTCCCCCCTCTTTCTCACAAATGAGTTGCTGTTTGTCAACCAGAAGATTAACTGGGGGCAGGGCTATAGTAGAGTGTAGGAATGAAGTTTCTACCATCTACTTTAATACTGTACTTCATTAGTTATCTAGAATAACTTAAATGAACAATGCACTTAGAAATTATTAATAAAACTTACCTACACAGTTACCCACCCATGGGCAATGATGATCAAATTTTGCTATGCAGCGGTTGCACACACCACAATGTTTGGACCTCACTGGTTTCCGTATCTGTTAATAAGCATTTTAAAAGATTACGAAAGGCACTACACCGAAGAAAGGAAAGCTGAACATTGACTTTCTCAAAATACGATTATGAAGAAAACAAAACTATATTTCCAGAGGCATAAAATAAAACAAAAACCACTACTGTTTTGTTAAATGAGATTTTAACTGCAACACAAAAGATAAAAAGGATAAGGCTACTGTGGAATATAAACTCCTAAGAGTGGGGTAGAACCATCACTTTAATTAAGACTCAAAGACCAATTTGCTGTTGTGATGAATGGTACTGTATTTAATTCACACCCCTCAAGTTTCTGAATAATAAAAACATCACTCTCCAGGCTTCTAAATGAAAAGTTATTGTGATTAATGGTCATGATACTGGTTCTTGTTTAACGAAATGAAATTGTTCCTTAGTAAAAGGAAGGCCAAATTAGAAGTGAATAAAAGCAGCTTTTAAAATTCAAAATCATTAATAAAATGTCTTCCCAAAGGTAACAAATCCAACAAAAACCAGTAAGTGTACACACATCTTTCTCTTTCCCTGGCTCCTGAAATCTCAGATTAAGGTACAACATCTCTGCTGAACTTCATGACCCATCTAAGAAAGTACACCATGCTTAGCAAATTTAGGTAGTCCCTATTACTTCAAAAACATAAAATATATTCATTATTCAGCTCCTGACAGGCAATAAAGAATTCATGTTTATGATGCCTTACTGTTTTAGGTGTTGTGAAATGTTTCACTCTATATTACTCTGAATCAGCCAAGTGAATAAAGAACTCATTATTGATCTTTGAAGGGCTGCTAGTCCTAATGCTGGATACATGACAAGAGCTAGTTATTAACCCATGCCAGAAACAAAATTTATAACATCCTTCATTGGTGTTTCAATAAAAGCACTGCCGTTTCTCCACCAGTTTGCATAAGGTTATATATCATTCTGAGGCACTAAGAAAAAGCACAGGTTGACTATGCAGTCCTTACACGTACTAAAATGATCTGTGGGCTCTTTAAACGGTCACTTATTCTTTACCACAGATAGGAAACTACATCTATTTAGGAGAAAGAAGAATGATGTATTAAACAAATCTTATCTCCACTTCCAACCCTCAACTATACTTGCCCTTTGGGCAATACTTGTCAGTGAATTCTCAACAAAGATTGACACAAGGCTCCTGAGCATGAGAGGCTCCTCGGTTCACTTACAGAGTAATTCATTTTTAGGAAATTCTGGTTTACATGTGGCTTCTTAGGGACCTGTCTTTTTATCAAAGGGAAGGATACCCACATAATGACAAATACCTCTGCCAATTTGAATTATTTTATAATTGGATATGCTCTTTTCTTTACAACACCGAATTATCTATCCAGAAGTACACGGCTTACAATAATATAATAAAACATTTATGCTAGAATGATAAAAAGTCTTGTTCTTGCCATCGGATATTTAACAGTGAAACCATACTGAGTGACTCTATAAAGAATTTGTTTGCCACACGGCAAACATATCATCAATGCATACTTGGCTTTGTGGAATGGAATAATATGTCCAGAGAACAGCAGAATATAAAACTGTTCTGAACATTAAGGTGCCAATCCTGTAAATTAACCATTGTAAAGCACAGAAACAAAAACCTTTTTAAAGAATGCTTGAAAATTCAAAAGAATCTAGTCAGCACCTTAAAGTTGCTACCAAAAGTAAAGCATTATACATTTTGAATATTCAAAATTGTAACTGTTTGGTTAAGGAATGGAATGTTAGGTGAAACAACTTAAACAATCTGTAGAGTTAAGAGCTCCATTTCAAAGACTTATTCCAGGATCCCAAACTAAGTCAATTCTCTTGTTGTTATTTACATGTTAAGACATTAGTTCAGTGATAGTGTATAACTTAAAAGTATAAAAGGACATTTAGTTTCATGGATGATTTAGGGATTATTTCCATGTAGGAAAACATGGTTTAACACTGTGGCGACCTATATATTTTTTCAAGAATTATAAAAATTAGCAGAAAATAATTAAAACACAAAACAGTATTATTCTGTAGAAATTTGATATCTATAATAACACAAATAATGTATTACTATACCTGATTCCATAAGTAAATGCTATTTAATTTCATTTATACTTTTATGTCCTGAAGATGACAACTTTTAATAACAATGATAAAATAGTGCTCAAAGTTCCATAAATCCTCTAAGACAAAGAGATAACTACTCAAACCGAACCATTTTAGAGGCCATGCTGTCTTAAGTTAGCTAACAGATTTTCCCAATGTGACCTCTAAATATAAGAATAAATTTTTTCTTAAAATGCCTAGGAAAACAATATTAGGGAAGCATAATGAACCTTTGATTTTTAAATATTTTATTACTTAGTTTTTTCTTTGTTGAGTTATATTAAAAAAGAAAAAGAGATTAAGGATGAATACAAATGAATGGTACGTTGAATCAGAAGTATAGTCAAGGTCTACCATCGGGGGAACAAGCACATTGGGAGGAGACATCTTTTTACCATCTTTCTCCTTACACTATGGTCTAAAAGGAATGTCGCCGGGGTGGGAGGGAGGGCATGAAATGTGCTCAGCAGAAGAAACTGTTCTTGTTCCCCACCCCTTCTATGCTATGCACTGCTATGCGAAGAGGAGAGAGGGTAGAATAAAGAAAAAAATACTACCAAACAGGTACTGCAGAATATACTGAGGTCCAGACTTCCTGTCTCTGCAAGTTCAACTATTGTCTGTGAATTAAAAATATATATATATATTTTATTCAAAACTGAACAATGTTCACCAACTATAGTGCCATCAATATGAATCAATAAACATGATGTTCATTTTTAATTAACCAATGTTTTCTGCTCAGAATAAAATCTTTTAGTTACTTCTGCTATTTTATTATAATATGAATATAGAAATTTTATTTCTTCGGTATATGAAAATGCAACTCTAAACTTAGGGGAATACTGCTCTGAAAATAAAACTAAGTTACCTACCCTAAGAACTGGTCTGTATAGGTTTTGATGACTAAGACATGAAAATAAACTTAAGTTCAGTAAAGAACTTAATCTTCAGAACTGGATTATGACTAAGAAAACCTAGCAAACCAATTAGCAGTAATGTCTGAAAAATACGGTAAACATAAGGATAGCAATCTCTATGCAGGCTAGAAAAGGGGGGATTAGACCCTAAGAATTTGCTACTGTTTTAGTTTATTGTGGACAGTAATAATTCATCAGGATTTGTTTTGTTTTCGGAGACTGGATAAAATAGCTCTTAACATAGTTTAACTGCCTCCAGTCTAATCTAATTCTCTACTTATAGGACACCTTCGGGTTGTAAATTTCGTTTCCTAAAGTACCTGGGCTTTAGATAAGGTATGCCCTGGATTTTACATATATATACACACACACATATATTTGTTATTGAACACACACATAAATATATGTTATTGAAACATAATATCTGAACTATCAACCAGTTTACTGACCTTCCAGTTACACAGTCATTTAATAAACATTTACTGAATTCATATTATTTGCTGAGGGTTTTCATAGATGTTTAAAATGCTGTACTCATCCCTCAAAGCAATCACAGTTCTTATACAGGAGAGAAACATGAAATTTTACAATGTCATGAAAGTGTAAGGATAGGCATTCAGGAGTACCAAGGGTGAGCAACAACTATGCATAATCTCAATTTGGTTTGAAACTTCTTTATGTTCTAAAAGATAGTTTCTTTCTTCGTACTCTAATATCTGGTATAAACTGATAATTTGGCAATTAAACACATATAACTAGTTAGATTCTATCTTGCTACCTTTTTCTTTTGTTCTTCTGTAGCTTTAATAATCCCTGGATCTGATTTCCAAGATTTTCCAAAATTGTAGAAAAGTGCAACACTATTGGCAAGGAATGGAAGATGGATAAATAAAAAGTTGAGATGTGCCTGAAGTTAAGGAATCTAAAGAAGCAATGATAAATGAGTTACTATCATAGGTAAACTTATAATCTGTAAAATTTTACCACACACACACACACACACACGGGAACACCAAGAAAAAAATACAAGTTGATTTATCTAAATAAATATGCTTCTAAATATTCATAACAATATAAAAAGTAAAAATGTGATTTCTTTACAAACTTTAAATCATGTAGGATAAGCTTTCTGACACTTTAAAAAAGTCAGTAATGCATTAAAAATTCAGTGACTACATTATTTTTAAATGATCATTATTTCTTCTGATCAAAAATGAAGGGACTTCTCATGTTCAAAGTTATTAACATATTACTTTATCTATATGCATTAAAGTCTTTATATATCTACCACTTAAGATATCACAGCTAGGTATTTAAAAAAGACTGCTTTTAAATTCTCTCCATTGCCTTTTTGAATATTCAAATTGACCCTAATTTTAGAAAAGTATTCATAAACTTGCTTTAAACAGAAGTTTCTATGTTAACATTTTTTCTACCTAATGAAAATATAAGAAATGTACTAGGCTTTATAAATATAAATGAGGAATCAAAAACTACTTAACACTAAGAAAAATAATGTTGCTAGAGCAACACATTTCTGAGGCACAAAATATCTGAAATACTCAAATACTATTTTCAAGATTTTATGCAGGTACAATTATCAACAGCTAAAAATCTCTTGAGAATAAAGCTGGGTAAAATGTACATGCAAAGAATACTGAACTCTGGTATTTTTCAGGAGCAGGACCTTTATACACTCTAAGTTTGAAAAGGTGCGAACATGTAAATAGCTCAGGTTCTTAAAGCCCGGATTAAATTTGCAAGGGGGCTAAACAGCAGCTCAAGAAATGACTACAGATTTAAAAGGCATAGGATATTCAACAACTAAATATCAGATGAACTTACAGAATTTCTTTGCTTGATCTTTAAAGGTAAAGAGATTAGATATCTTTAAATGGTAATTTGAACTTAGCTTTAGTAATAGGTCACACCAGTTAATTTTTTAAATTTACAAACAAAAATTTACAAACTCTCCACAAATGGCATGGTTGTTTTTTGTAAAGGTTTAAGACAATCTTTTTTTCCCCTATAAATCAGAAAACACTAAAAAGTATAAAGGCAAAAACAATACCTCCACCACCCAGGGACAATTCTTTTTATACTTGGTATTCTGCATTTTTAATAATTGAGATCATAGTGTTTTTATGAACATCAGTAAAACAACACCTATTAATCAACTATATGCCATTTAATCTGCACAAAAACTCTATCCCCATGTTACAGATGACAAACCTGAGACAGAAGTTAACTAAACAGTCCCAAGTTGCAGACTAAATTAAAGGTAGAGCAGCTATTAAAATCCAGGCTCTTTTTACCTGTGCTGTCCTGCCTCTCCAATGCACTCAGCAGAAGATACTGGGTCCTTAGATATTATGAGAACAACATCTTTGGGTATGACCATACTTAAGGCTTGATGTATATTTTTGTACTGTCAGATTATTTCCAGAAAGATACACCAATTTAAAATCCCACTAACATCACATATTGCTTGACTACTACATTTTCATCAGCTTTGAGCAAAGAAGAGTTGTCAATTTTAGAAGCAAAAGAAACCTTATTTTATTGTCTTAATTCGTATTTGTTTTTTTGTTTAAATAGTCCTCCAATTAGATAAAGAAGAAGTATGTGTCATCAATGTTTTCATTTAAATGTTTATGGAATCCTTTTTTACATTTAACTCTTTAAACTACTTGGATGTTATTTTGATGCTTGCTGTGAACTGCAGCTCTAACTTAACCATAATACCCAAAAAACAAAACAAAACAAAAATAGCAAATCAAATGAATCAACTGTCTGCAAAATACCAGCAACAACTTCAGAAAGGGGACAAGCCACACTATACCATAAAGTTCAGCTGGAGGTCAAGAAAAGACAACTCTGGTAAGGCAAGCTGCCTGGGGTAGTTGTTAATCCCACCTCCACTTGTATGAACAGTATGGAAAATGCAGACGAGAAGATAAAGTCAGAATTCTCATCAGTCCCACCTGGCCCTCTGCTGTGGACTGAATCATGTCCCACTCCCTAACCCCCCCACCCAAATTCATACGAAGCTCTAACCTCTAATGTGACTATTTCTGGAAATGGGGTCTCTAGGTGGTAATTAAGGTTAAATGAGGTCATAAGGGTAGGACCCTAATCCAACAGGATTGTGACTGTGTAAGCTTTAAGAGGAAGAAAGAAATCTCACTCTCTCCCCCTGCTATGGGAGACACAGGGAGGAGGTGGCTATTGGACAGGAAAAGAATCCTCACCTGAACGTTATCATGCTGGCATCCTTATCCAGAACTGTGAGAAAATCAATTTCTTTGTGTAAGCTAACCAGTCTATGTTACTTTGTAATGGCAAAGACCTAAACATCAAATTATTCTTCAACTTAAATAGAATTTCAATCAAAATTGCATCAGGCTTTTCACAGAACTTAAAAAGCTGATTCTAAAAAATCTGAAAAGAACAAAGTGCCAAAAAAGCTAAAATATTCCTGAGAAACAAAGAAGCTGGGAAACTTGGCCTACCAGATATCATGACTGAAGACTAAAGCTTTAGGGGGAAGGGGGGAGGATGGGTGAAATAGGAGAAAGGGATGAAGAGTACACCTATGGTGAGCACTGTGTAATATATAGAATCACTGCATCATTTGTACACCTACAACTGACATAACAGTCTGTTATCTGTACTAGAAGAAAAGGACGAAGGGAGGGAGGAAGGAAGTTAGGAAATTAAGAAGTTAGGAAGGAAGGAAGGACGCAAGGAAGGAAGGAGAAAGCTACAGTAATAAAATAGTACTGAGACAGCGGAGATCAATAAACTGAATAGAGTACAGGAAAACTGATAAATAATCAAGGTTGATACTGCAACTGAGTGAAGAAAGGGTATACTGGAGCAATGAGTTTCCCTAATAAGCAAAAAGGAAGATAGACACATGCCGGACCTCACAGCATTCATTACACACAGTACTCAAATACACATTAAGAAATAAATTAGAGATTATCTTTAATGACTTCAGAAACACCTGCACGTGCACGTGCACACACACACACACAAATGATATACAAGAATATTTACAACAATATTTTCAGAATTCACAGAAGTAGTGACTGGATACCTGAAGACAGGTATTAAAAAGCTTAGAGAATAGTATAAGAAAACTAGAAAAGATACAAAAAAAAACCCCAAAACTGAAAAAGTCCTAACAGTAAACGGCAGGAAAAAAATGCTTAAGAGGAAAATGTATAGAAGATGGTGAAAATGATAATTTAGCAATGTCTTCATTTTTATATACATAATCATCCCAGCTTCCAGAAGTTCTTTATATCCATCTTTAGTTTAAGCTTAATTTAACTTAAAACCTGACTGAAAACTAGTTTATTTTTAGACATAAAATTTCTAATAGCCTAACATCAATATTTTTTCACTTATTACATCTTAAGTATAAGCCCACATTAAGTCTTAGAAAAGCACTGTAATGGCTATTTTATCCCATACTACACATAGCTAATTGATAACAACTATTCCCCATTCAGGATGGATACTCAGGTTGTTTCCACTTTTTCCCTACTATAAATAGTACTATGGCAAACAACTTTGTAAATAAGTTTTAGATCTTATCTCTGATGATTTACTTATGAATGACTCAGGGTATTTTTAAAGCTTTTTCTACATGTTGCTTTTCAGGAAGGTTTAAAAACTTAAAATTATGTTCAGAGTATAAAATAAGACATCTGAAGATACATTGTTATCAGATCAAAAAGCTGGGCAAGACTCTTGATAATTACCTATCTATGTAACTTTGGGCAAGACATACAACTTCTCTGAACCTCAACGTTTCCATCAGTTAGAAAACAGGATTAGGACTTATGTGGTTTGTTTTTCTAATCTCAAAGAATTGCTTTGAGAACCAAGTCAAACAACAGATCTGAAAGAACTATAAACCAAAAAGCACTGAATAAATGTAAGGTATATACGAGATAAGTAATGAACAGTAGAAAAGAGTAAGAACTTACTTGTTAGGACAAATAATTTATATCAATATAAAATTCATTACAACACAAAACATGTAAGTTGGGTATCCTATTATGAGAAACTAAAATAAAGTTTATACAATTGATCCTCATGCCTACTTGCTAAAATTTATTTGTAACCCCAAAATCAATACTCACAGTGCTTTTACAGTCATCCATGGATATATGCAAAGTAGCAAAAACTGTGAGTCACCCTAGGTACAACAATGCCAGCTGAGCTGAACAAGAGAAGTCTGCCTACTTGTTCTAGCTCTCATACTGTAAACGAGTATCTTTTCATGGTCTCTTCTGTGCCACACTTTCTGCCTATTTGTGCTTTCTGTTGGCAATTTTGCTATTTAAAATGGTCTCCTAGGGTAGTGCTGAAGTGTTATCTTAATGTTCCTAACACAAGAGGGCTGTGATGTGCCTTACAGAGAAAATAGGTGTGTTAGATACGCTTTGTTCAGGCACGGGTTATAATGCAAGCTGGCTGTGAGTTCAATGTCAATCAATCAATGATAAATATTAAATCTGATATGTATACAGAAACACATATAAAACCACGGTTATGTACTGATTGGCTGACAAAAATGTTATGACCAGAGGTTTGCATTTCTTTTTCTCCTAGGAGCAACAGGTTTAGTATTTGCTAATTCAATGTTTGCAGCAACTTCATAGAACATAATTACCACATATAATGAAAATTGACTGTAACTCTATTTTTCACAACTGGTCTAATCAGTTTTAATTACATATGTAGTCATGAGTCGCATGAGGAAAGTGGTAGAATCAACAGCAAAGAGGATGAGGTCAACAAGAAAGAGAGTCCCTGACAAGAGCTGCCATTTTTAACTCCCTTATCTTATATCATGAACCTTCTGACTCTTTCCTGTCTAACATCCTTTGTGCTTCCATTATAAATTATTCTGGGCTCTTTCTGTTCCCTTCCTATATAGGTTTCCTGAGCTCTTATCTCTGGCCTCTAAGTTTAATACTGAAAAACAAAAAAATATAGTTCTAAAATCACATACGGCATAGAGATCTGGTTCTTTTATAACAAAGAAAAGCGTAAAGCTTTTATTATCAGAATTTAAAGTTATTTGTGATTTCATTCCACATTCCATGAGCAGCATACACACATACACAAACATTCAAATAAAAGAAATCGTAAATGCACACTTAAAGCCTATGTGGACACAATGATCCCAAAAGTCATGCATAAGATAGTAACACACACTTATTTAACATTTTTTACATGTCAGGTGTGTCCTAAGTTTTATTACATTCATCTTCTCAAGAATTCTGTGAGACAGTACTATGATCATCACTCCTTTACAGACAAGTATGAAAACTTTGTATTCTCATACTACAATTTTTATTTGAAAAATTAAATACATGCAATTTGTTCAGTGCATCTAAAACAAGAACTATATGCCAATCTATTCTAAAGGCATAATTATTCAAACAGGACAAGTTAAATTGCTTGATTGTGCTGATCTTCCTTTCAAAATCTACTTCTTACATTCTCAGCTCGCTTTGGAAACTTGCATAGCTATTTTATTCTATCTCCAAATAAGGAAGAAAGAAAAGGAAAAAAATTCAAGTCAGACTACATAAAAACTCTCTGGCATGTTTTCATTATTTGTAATTTACTAATTTTCCTACTCTTCTCCACTTATATGCACAATAGATTAAGAGAACAGCAACAGTCTAAAATTATTTTGAGATGTGAATCTGACTTTTTTCATGATATAAAATTTACTGTCCAATTTAGGAAACAAAATGAGAAAATATGTCTGGAATACTAATGTCATTTCAGAGGTCAGTGCTTTTTATAAATTTAAAATAGATGAGGTAACAAAAATAAGGAGATCTGTTTTACCTAGACTAAATGTTCCAGTAAGACAAATTCTAATGTTTAATAAACCCTTGAAGAACAATTTTTATGTCAAAGTTTAGTACAAGGAAGAATGAGCTAGCAAAAACTGCCACATGGAAATATTTCAAAAGAAACTTATGCTAAGGAAATATTTTTTAAGCACTATACTTTCTGAAAGTAATCATATAATGATATAAAAATGTAAGAATGACAGGTATAGCCACAATTCTGTGCCTCAGTCTCGAAATAAGCATTTTGTTTTTCAATACTTTTTGTTTAAAACACAAGACAATAAAAAGAACACAGTGCTATATAACATGCAAGACTGTGAAGTGAAACTAGGTATTAATTAAAATTGTTCAGAACAGGGGCGCCTGGGTGGCTCAGGCGTTAAGCGTCTGCCTTTGGCTCAGGTCATGATCCCAGGGTCCTGGGATCGAGCCCCACATCAGGCTCCCTGCTCGGAGGGAAGCCTGCTTCTCCCTCTCCCACTCTCCCTGCTTGTGTTCCCTCTCTCACTGTGTCTCTCTCTGTCAAATAAATAAAATCTTTAAAAAAAAAAAATTGTTCAGAACAGTCATAAGTCAACAAAAACTGCATTCCATTTAAAACCTATCATATTTTTTATGGTAATGTTTTAAAAAATGATTTATTAACAGACATTTGTGAAACATGTGCCTTTATTTTAATAAAACAGACTGTTTTACTGATAGAGCTTCTTCTACATAAAAATATCAAAAGTTGACATTGGTCTTATTTCTTTGATACACACATGCACACAGACGTTTACAATTTCAAATTATTACTTTTTAAAAGCATACTACACTGAAATAATCAGCAAATATTTGAAGATACAGTACTGCATGCTTTTCATGATGCAAAAGAGAAAATTAACTGTTACCAACCACAACAAAATAAAAGGTTGTGATATTAAGAAAATATTTAGAGAAAATAGTTTGATACTAAAACATGAAAATCATAGTTTAGTAAAAACGGTTTCGAATAGGTGTTGTTGAATCAGACTAGCGTGTGTTTCTATCCCAGCCTTACCAGAGACTAGCTATGTGGCCTTGGGCAAGGATAACAGCTTAGCCTATTTAAGCCTTAATTTTCTCATCTATAAAATGTGGAGATAAAAATATTAATATATAGAATGTGTACTAAATGAGTACAAATGAGCATTTAAGAAAATGCCCTTTAAACAATAAATAATAGCTACTATTATTATTACTGATGTAGTCATTAAAAGCAGCTTTCAAAAGCGAACGATTAAATATGAAACATTTTAAAACAATATTTACTTTGGTTCACAATTAGTATTTTCCTAGAAATACTGTTTTACTGCAGCAAATCATAAGTAGTTCAGTCCTAATGTTAAATCATTATAAAACATTCATTTAAATAACAAACAAAAATTGCTTTAGATATGACCTTTATAACCAAAGGATATCATTCCAAAACCAGAAGAACCACGTTACATACATCCAGAATTTGGTTGCCAAATATATTCCAAGGGGCAATGCACTATGCATTGAATGATCAAAAAAGGATCTGCAAAATACAAGTTTTTATAAAATTTGAGCTCTGTATTTCTTTATAAAAATGAATAATTATTTAAATGAAAATTATACACATTCCACATAGTAAACTCTGGTTTAACCAAAATCCAGAAATCCAGGATGCTTAAATACCAAGACCATTTTTCATGGTAATCAATAACAAACGAGGGCACAGCTGAATCAGTCAGCAAGATTCTGAAGCTCCTAATTTGCCGAGAAATGGAATTCTATTCTATTCTATGTACTTTTCAACCTCAGAATTTCAGTCTATTCCTATACTCTTAAATCAATTAATTCACTTTAGTATATTTAGTAACTCTATCACTCAGCATATTATTCACCAAAGACTCATTATAATTTTGACAAACAAGTACAAAGCAATCCTCAAGTTTTTATGTTTCATTATTTCTCCTTACCTACACACTCTTGTTAAGCTTTTAGTACAGCTTTCAAATAGAATGAACTGGCCAATGTAATGGAACTGAAGGTCATGATGTACAGAATTTAGAACTGGAGGAAAAATATGTATTAATGAATTTTATTAAACATAAGCAGGATCAACTATCCATGTAGGCTAAGTAGGAAGTCTTCCTATTTATGGGATCCCTTGGAGCTCCTAGAAACACTACAGTGAGATTCATTACCTAGAATTAAGCCTCTTCCTGACAGTTAACACATTAGTGTATTACCAGTCATCCTCATCTATGGGAATTATTTTCACAACTCCTTTTTCACAATTCACGTGAAAACAAAGTATAAAGAAATGGAGATTACGTGGAAAGTTCTAGATCATAGACAACTGCCTAGGTTTGCTGAACAGGCAACTTAAAGGAATGAGATCTAAGGATAGGAAGAAAGGGAAAGATCACAATGTTTTAAAGAAAAATGAGGGAGGAGAAAATACAAAGGCTGAGCCTTACTGCGTTATGTTCAGACTCTCTCTACCGTAGTACTAAAATCAAACCTCTTTCTTGCATATTATTTATGACCAAAGAAAATATAATTCCTATGGAAAAGGTAAGCTCAACATTATAATTACCTAGAAATAAATAATATGTATATGGCAGTTAGAGTTGAACGAACTCAAGTCTACTTCTACTGAAATGTTTTAAAATTGTATTTTAGCCTTAAAAATTATGTTAGGCTTTGGTCAATGAAAGTACCTGGGGAATTTCAACATTTCAGTTTGTTTCCTATAGTTATGGGTCTCTCATGGTTTGTCTCCCTCTCTGATTTCTTCCTATTCGGTTTTCCCTCCCTTCCCCTATGATCCTCTGTGCTGTTTCTTATATTCCACATATGAGTGAAACCACATGATAATTGTCTTTCTCTGATTGACTTGGGGTTGCTGGAGGGGAGGTGGGGGAGGATGGGGTAACTGTGAGGTGGGCATTAAGGAGAGCACGTGATGTGATGAGCACTGGGTGTTAAATGCAACTGATGTATTACTGAACTCTACATCTGAAACTAATGATGTACTCTATGTTGGCTAACTGAATTTAAAAAAAAGAAAAAGGAAAAAAAGAATTTCAACATTAAAAAACTTAAAAGATTTCAGATATAAGTCTGCCAAAATTCTTTAACATTAAATTAAAATGAAACATATTACCTAAAGGCAGTGTTCTAAACATACAAAAACATTAATTTTACATAGCAGGGTCCAAATTATATCCTTTCATGCTGTTAAAAATATGGTTAAAAACAACATACTTACTTTGAAAGAAATTGTACTGTAGCCCAAACGCCACCATACATTAGCCCTTTAATGAGCCAAGAATCAATATTTAGGTCTGCTATAAACCCAACCAGCCAAATAACTAGGAATGGAGTTCCTAGCATTACTTTCTGCCGAAATTCCTGTACAAAAAAAAAAAAAAATCAGAAAGTTTGCATGTTTCAAGTAATCTGAATGTGAACCACTGTTATCTTTGTGAAAATATGCAACAGAGAGTGAAATTCATTCATTCAAATACGCCTACTATGCACAGGTACAATTCAAGGTGCTAGTCTCAGTCTTCTACAGACAGGCATTAAATAGACAATTTACAAGTACTTCAGTAAAATTGTGGAAAATGAGAATCTAAGTTATAGGAGTGGATCTAGATATTCAGATATAAAAGACAGCAGTACCACCTGCCAATGCATGGATAAACTAGAAAATAGTTCATGATGATACTACCCCATTAACAGGGCCATTGATAACTAGAGAGATAAGAACCAGAACGACTTGAAGTTCTAAGAGCTACATCAGATAAAGAAGCATGATGCTTAGCCTGAAGAAAACACTTTGAATGATACATAAAAACAGTAAACTAAAATCTTAAAATGAGATAGAAAATAAAAATCAAACAATCTAAAGGGTCCCAGAGTCCAAAGAATGAAGATTATGTGCCTCTAAACACATATCAAAGCACAGTGCTTAATACTCTGGAGGTAGTTCCGTTTCATTGTTGTACTGATCTAGTTGTTACAAAGTCTGTACTTTGTAGGTTGTTAGAAAACCTATCTATATCTACTTCCTTATAACATCTATCACAGTTAGATCTTCAGAGCAACAAAAAGTAACATCTACCACCTCCTCCACATAGCAGCCCCTCACAAACTGACAGGCAGCTACCAAGTCTCTGGAGGTACCTTAAGTAAAAGAACAATGTAAGATCTTCCAGCTGTGATCTAACAAAGCTCAGAGTACAAACATTACTTTTCTCCCTATTTACCTTTCTAAAGGCTAAGATACTACAATTTTTAGCGCCCCTTTTATACTGCTGGCTTTCAGCGAAATACTTTTTCATATAAATGGCCATGTCTTTCCCAACTTAACCACTGTAATTCATTTTCTGAATGGTGCCTAATTTTTTTTTAAAGATTATTTATTTATTTATTTATTTGAGAGAGAGAGAATGAGAGATAGAGAGCATGAGAGGGAAGTGGGTCAGAGGGAGAAGCAGACTCCCTGCTGAGCAGGGAGCCCGATGCGGGACTCGATCCTGGGACTCCAGGGTCATGACCTGAGCCGAAGGCAGTCGCTTAACCAACTGAGCCACCCAGGCGCCCTGAATGGTGCCTAATTTTAACTTGAGAAACAATTAAACATAACTTCAGAGTTTAATTTTATGCTGTAGTAAACTAACCCTGCTGATCTGTTTTTTTCATCTCAAGTATGCATGAATTTTGTATCAAGACATTAGAGAAGATTTATAACTGGGAGGACAAAGTGTATGGTAAAGGGTGGGTATTGGTGGGAGAGAAGGCAGGTCATTGGAAAAGTATTTTCTAAAATTATCTGTAATTTGCCTTGTTTTTAGTTAAGATGCTTTTTCTCCCTCAGCAATAGCCACATTTTTTCATTATTAAAAATAAAGATACAATTTACATATAGTAAAATTCACCCTCTTTTGGGCAGAGTTCTCTGATTTTTGATTAACATACACTGTTTTGTCAGCATGAAAATCAAGACACAGAACAGTTCTATCAAGCCCTGAAATATCCTGTGCTCCCAGTCCCAGCCCCTAACAAACACTAATCTCTACCCCTATATTTTTTGCTTTGCAGGAATGTCTTATAAATGGAATCATACTGATGCAATCTTTTAAGTCTGGCTTCTTTCACTTAGACAATGCATTTGACATTCACTCACACTCTTGGGTGTATCAGCAGTTTGTTCCTTTTTAAAGTTAACTAGTATTCTATTATAGGATGTATCACAGTTTATTTACTCATCTCCAGCTAAAGGATTAGGGTTGTTTCCAAATTTGAAGACTGTGAATAAAGCCATTATAAACATTTGCATACAGGTTTTTGTGTGAACATAGTTCATTTCACTTGGATAAATACCTGTGTGTGGGCTTCTGGAGTGTTTTTTTTTTTTTTCCCAAAATATTATTTAACACATGTATTTATAATACATACCATAAAGATGTTTAAAAAAAAGAGATGTTAACGGTGATGTGCTGCTACTGTAGATATGAACAATCTATTTTTTCTTGAATTTTATTATGGAAATTTTCAAATATAGAGTAAGTTTGAAAGAATTTTATAGTAATTTGCATTTCCCTAATGACTAATGATGTTGAACAGCTTTTCATGTGCTTATCTGCCATTTTTATATCTTTTTGGTGAAATATCTCTTTAACCCATTTTTCTAACTGGGTTGTTTGACTTTTTCACTGTTAGTTCTGAAAAATTCTTCATACATTCTGGAAATTAGTCCTTTATTGGGATATATGGCCAGCAAATATTTTCTCCCAGTCTGCAGTTTGTCTTTTCATCCTAATTAACAGAGGCTCTCATTGGACAAAAGTTTTTCATTTTGATGAAGTCTAATTGATTAGTTTTTACCTCATGGATCATACATTTCATGTCAAGTTTCTTTGTATAGCCCTAGATTCTGATGATTTGTTTTTTCCTAAAAGTTTTATAGTTTTACATTTAAGTCTGTGAATCATTTTGAGTTAACTTTTTTATACAGTGTGAGGTTTGAGTAGAGGTTTATTTATTATTTTTTTGCTTATGCAGGTCCAAATGTTCCAACATCATTTGTTGAAAAGACTGTTTCTCTTCCACTGAACTATATTTGTACTTCTGTAAGTCAGCAGGCATGTATCTGTGTGGTTCTACTGCTGGGTTCTCTATTTTGTTCCAGTGATCTAGGAATTTGTTCCTCCAATACCACACATTCTTGATTACTGTAGCTACACGGCAGGTCTTAAAATTGCACAGGATGATTTTTTTATTTCAAAATTGTTTTAGACATTCTTGATCTATTGCCTTTCCATATAAATTTTAGAATAATCTTCGCTATACAAACAAATCTTACCGGAATTTTTATTTAATTGCATTAAATTTGTATAACAATTTGGGCACTATGTTGAGTCTTCCATTTCATGAACACAGCATGTCTCTCCATTTATGTAGATCATCTTTGATTTCTTTCATTGACATTTTAAAAAATTTTCAGTATACAAGTAACTTTACATGTCTGGTTAGATGTACACCTAAGTATTCTGATTTTTTTTGAGCAACTGTAAGTAATGTTGTAGTAATTTTGGTGTCCACATGTTTACTGCCAAGTATATAGAAATAAAATAAAATATCCTGTGACTTGCTAAACTCATTTATTAGTTCTAGGAGTTTATTTTGTAGATCCCTTGGGATACAGACAATCATGTCAACCACAAATAGGGACAATTTTATTATTTTTTCCTTTCTGAACTATATGCCTTTTAACTTCCTTTTCTTGCTTTATTTCACTAGCTAGAACTTCCAGCATTTAGAGTCTCTGCGTGGTCGGGACTTGCAGCACTAAGTTGAATAGGAACAGTAAAAGGAATATCCTTGCCTTGTTCGTTTTTTTTTAAAGATGTTATTTATTTATTTGACAGAGAGAGACACAGTGAGAGAGGGAACACAAGTGAGGGAGAGGGAGAAGCAGGCTTCCCGCCGAGCAGGGAGCTCGACGTGGGGCTCGATCCCAGGAACCTGGGATCATGACCCGAGACAAAGGCAGATGCTTAACAACTGAGCCACCCAGGCGCCCCAACCTTGTTCTTGACCTTAGGGGGAAATCAGTCTTTCACCATAAAGTATGATGTTAGTTGAAGGTTTTAGAAATGCTCTTTAAAAAGTTCAGGAAATTCTCCTCTATTCCTATTTTTCTGAGAGTTTTACCATAAATGGATACTGATCTTTATCAAATGCTTTTTTCTGCATGGATATAATCATGAGATTTTTCTTCTTTGTTAATATGGTAGATTACACTGAATAATTTTGAACATTTAAATGAGCCTTGCATTCCTGTAATAAGCCCAATTTGGTCACAGTGCATAATTCCTTTTATGTAATGATGATTTCTATTTGTTAGTATTTTGTTAAAAATTTTTAAGTGTACAGTTGACCCTTGAATAACAGGGGTTAGGGGTACCAACCCCTTGCAATCAAAAACCTGCATATAACTTGACTCCCCAAAAATTTAACTACTAATAGCCTACTATTTTGACTGGAAGCTTTGGCAATAACACAAACAGTTGACTGAACATATTTTTTATGTTATATGTATTATATACTGTAGTCTTATAGTAAAACTAGAAAAAAGGAAATGTTATTAAGAAAATCATAAGGAAGAGAAAATACATTTCAATATTGTATTTACCAAATACAAATCTGTGTCTTCAAGGGTCAACTGTATACTCATGAGGGATATTTGTTCATAGTCCTTTGTTTTGTACTGTCTTTGTGTGGTTTTGGTACCAGGCTAACACATACTGCTTCCAATCTGTTACTTAACCTATATAAGCTATTTGCCGATATTCTTAGACATGAAGTGAGTTTCTTATAGACAGTATATAGTTGCGTTATGCTTTATAATACACAGAACCAATAACTGTCTTTTTCTTGGTATATTAGAATATTTTAATTTAATGTGATTATGACATGTTAGGTCTATAATTTTATTTTTTGTTTTCTTCTTCTGTTTTAGTTTCTCTGCTTTCTTTTTCCTGCCTTCTTGTGGGTAACTGGAAAGCTTTTTAGAATTCTATTTTATCTACAGTGTTTTCCAGTTTATCCCTCTGTACAGCTTTTTTAGTGGTTACTCTAAATATTATATAAACATAACGTATCACACTGGTATCATTTTACCAGTTCAAATGAAGTGTAGAAACCTTACCTGCCTTTATGTCCCTCTATCCTCCCATTTATATTATAAATTGCCTCACATGTATACCTACATTTAGAGACACATCAAACAATATTATAATTTTTGCTCCAACTGCCAAGCGTAATTTGGAAGGCATAAGATGAGAAGTCTACTGCATTTACCCATAAATTTTACTATGATCTGATGTTCCAAGATTTTTCCT